GCCGCACTCAACACGAGCGCCGCGGCGCCGCCAGACGCCGGGTTCGGGAAGGGGATGCCCGTGGTGGTGACATCACCGTCCTTGTCCCTGAGGAAGGCGGTCTCCTTATCCAGCAGCCGCCGCCAGCCGCGGCCCGACAGGCCCTCGCCGGCCCGGGGCTCCTCAAGCTCGCCGGCGTCGACGCGCGCGCGCAGCCAGGCCGGCAGCCAGTCGTTGTTCTGGGAGTAGACGGCGCGCACCTGGTTGTTTTGGAGAGGGGGGAGGGCGAGGGGGCCGGGAGGGAGGTCAGGGTGCGTGAGTCAAGGAATGATCCATCTGTTGAACAAGTGCAGTTGACGGGCGTAGCATGCGTCAAGTGCTCGTTGGCGGCGGCAGTGGGACGCTGCTGCCGCGGACGCCTTGCGGATAATGCAGCGTACCCACACACCCCAGCTCACCAGCTCACCAGCCCCACGCCCCCGCAAGACCCACACGACACGGGGGTAAAACCCTGTCTCGCCCCTCTGCCCTTCCCACGCATTCCCCACTCCCCACACCGGCCTGCCTGGCCCCAACACACAAACGCGCACAAAGGGCCGTCCTTTCCTGCCGCAGCTCACCGTGTCGGCAAAGGCGCGGTGCCTGAGCCCTTCGTCGTCCAGGGCGCCCCTGACCTTGTCAATGTAGGACCACAGGAACCCGCGCCGCTTGTTGGCCTGCTTCGACCGCAGCGTGGCGTTCCAGTAGTTCTTGATGGAGTTCTCGGTGCGGCCGCGGAGGCGGGTGCAGTGCTGAGACCACTGGTTGCCGACGAGGGTGTGGCAGAGGGCCAGGTGGAACTCCTCGTCAGCCAGCCAGTTGCCCCTGGGGCGGGGCGGGGGGAGGTTGCGGGGTGAATTTGAGGGGATGGGTGCATACCGTATGGCCGCGGTTGGATATACACCAGAATGACCCAGCGAGTGGGACAGGTTGGGGGAGGCTGCGGGGGGAGGGGGTGGGAGACTGTGGCCATGAGCGGATGGACATAAGAGTGACCCGGCGAGTGGATGCAAGGAGGGATGGTGGCGGGAATGCGGTGAGCCGTGTCTCGTACAAGACGCGTAGCAGATGATTGGGTGGACCAAGTTGCGGACGGTCATGTGCGGGCTTCAGCGGCAGGCTGCAGCGCGAGCACGTTTCTAGCCCAGGTGACTGAACTCAATTTTCCTCAAAGTTGAGCAAAAATCTTTTCTCAAGTCCCACAGAGGCCATTCAGCCTGAGAAAGGAAGGCAAGGGCCCGGCCACCCACTTGATGATGCCGTCGCGCATGTGGTTAAGCCAGCGCTCGCGGCACTGCTTGCCGCTGCGCCCGCTGATGCCCTCCGCAATCAGCGCCCAGTTGCGCTCGGTGCCGTACTGCCGCACCAGGGACTCGAGCCGCGCGTGCTCCTCCGCCGTCCAGCGGTGCAGCACGCGCGTGCCGCCCGCGCCGCCGCTGCTGGGCTTTCTGATGCCCATGGAGGGTGCGGCCTTGCGGCGGCGGCGCGCGCCGGCGGCGCTGGTGCTGTCATCCGAGTAGTCGCTGTCGCTGCCTTCATACTCAAAGTCGCTATCGCCGCCGCCACCCGAGCGTGGCACGCCGCGTCGGATCGGGATGTGCGGCAGCGCGGCCGCATAGCCCGCTATGGGCGGCAGGTACTCGCAGTCATCCGACGCAGTGCTGGGCCTCCCAGCAACCTCCATGGCTGAAGAGTCGACGATGCAGGTGAAGGGTGGGAGGATGAGACCGCTCTAAGGCCAGGCGAAGACCATGTGAGACCGGGTCTTGACGATCGCGGGAGCTGCAGACAGTAGAACAAGCTTGCAACAATGCCCCTTATTCGCGCACCTGAGCCACCCTCCGCGCTGCTTGTGTGCCCTGCTGATGGGTTCCTTTTGCAAGCCCAGCGTATGTACCCGGGCCTCAGAGTAATCCAATAGATTCTACAAAAAAATATGCGTTGCACATATAGAGCCTATCAGGTGGTCAAAGGATGTCCACGCTTGCTGCAGCTTCGTATGCTGCTGCTGCCCTTTGCTGCTGCCGTGCCGTGCCGAACCCCTTGTCGTGAAGACGAGTACAAAGAAAATTCAAAACAAACAAGAATGAACGCGGCCCGAGCCTCCGTGTTTGAGGCTGGTTGCAGAACGAGAACAAGGCCCTTCGAATTCCGACCGGTGCAGGTCCCGCTCGTGCTATCAGGACTAGAGGGGGGAAAGTGTGTGGTGCTTCATTACGTTTTAGACGAGATCAACAACGACCACAGCCGCTGAGGGCTTGCCTTATGCTCGCCCCGGGCACACCCCTGTTGAATTTGTGGGTGAGGCCGCGGTTGTGCTGCAGCCGCCGTGTGTGACTGCTTGCAGGGTGGCAGGGCTACTGCCAAGCCAGCAATGTAAGCTTAGATGAATGAGTTTGGAATATCGTGGCTGCTCCAATAGCTTCCTGCACGTGCAACTCATTGCTATTGTTAGGGCTTGAGGCAAAGGAAACCTGTGTTGCACCCTTTGGAAGGAAGATGTGCATTTTTCAAGCTCATATCCCATTCCGCCTGCGGTTGTATGGATATCTGATGCCCTGACGAGGCATGAAAAGATGCTTGCGGACTCCAAGACTGCTGACCTTGTTAAAACGCACATGTGCTCCATTACGCATCAAAGAGGGGTTGCGTGCATACAGATCAGCCAATATGCTGACATTACAGACACAACCTGGCGAGCAGGGGGCCACAACAGCCAAGCTGCAGACGTGCGCCAAAGGCACACCGTTGCCAGACCTGTGAGAAATAGACGCAATTTGCTCCTCTGTTTGGCGGCCGCGCTGCTGCAGCTTTGCAGCTCGTGGCAACTGCACATGGCGTGCATGGGTCGCATTGTGCATTTGAAATGTCGAGCGCTGGCACATAATACGCCACTTGACGCTACATGCGTGTTTCGGTGATGAGCACAAGGTGATGAGGGTGGAAAAGCGGCGAACACGTGGCGTCAACGCTCGTACGTGTGGGGTGGCCAGACCGCTGGAGGGGCGAGCAGGATGGGTGGTGCGCCGGTGGGGGTTGAAGCAGCGGCGTGTTCAGGCTTGTGTCAGGCAGGTGCGCTCTCGTTGATCACGTGGGTGCGCAGTTGGGGTACTTGAAGCCGCGCGCTTCCAAATCTCTTCGGGCACGAATGATGTCCTGGTAGGGCAAGCGTGGGGGTTGGAGGATAACCGAGGTGCCGCATGCGCCAATGAGTTCCAGGCATGCAGCACACATCTGCTACGCCTCATCGCGTATGCTCAACCCTCCGCGTCAGCAAGTCGGGATGCCAAAACACATTCAGCGCACAAGAAGGGAGCATGTGCTGGCCGTAGGTGCATCTGCCGTGAGATGCTGCTGGCAGCTCGCATGTATGTTTGCAACATGCTTGTGCGCGCGGCCGCAGCCACTTCTGCGCTGTGAACGCTGCAAGCTCGTTCGCGCCAGAGGCGCACCTTGCGCAGCTCGTCGGCCTCCTCGGGACAGCTCCTGAATGTGGCGATGCCCCACACCAGCTGCGCCAGCATGTACAGGCCCAGCAGCACCACGGCCGCTGCGGGCGCCTGGCGCGTCCAAGAAATGTGGGGCGGATGGATGTATAGATTACAGCGACACCTGGCTGCAGAACGCTGCTGTGCAGGATGCCAAGAAACTCAGATGATACAAACTCTGCCCAAGCACAAGTCTCATACGCCACCCATTGCACTCTGTTGCTTGGTGCCTCGCACCCAGACGACAGCGGTGCGCATCCACTGTGCTGCTGCCCTGTTGCTGCTGTCTGCTAGCACTCGAGTCAGCGCGGTGGTCCAGATCGCTGCCGCCACTGCAAGGATTGCAATCAATTTTTGTATTCGCTTCATGCTGCCGCGTCCGACGCAAGATGTTTCAAAATGCGATCTGAGTGCCTGAATCTAGGTGGGTGCCTTATATATCAATTGCAACATGACTAAAAATTCTGAGGCTATATCTGATGTAAGGAGAAGGTTAAAGCACATGGTATACGTGCAGAAGATTGCTGCACACACCCGCCGGAACTCCCTCACCAGCTCAATCAAAGGATCCAAGGATTGCAAGGCCAACGATTGCAAAGCTTCATCATATTAGTTTGCGGAGTCCTCGGTCAACACGTGATGATCTGACGCGCAAACTCAACCGGGACGTGTATGATGCACCAGCACCGGCCAAAAGGTTGGAGGGACGCATGCATGGCTTTCTTGAAAATGACTGATGCCTTGCTGCCCCGCGGCACAGCAGCAGTGTGTGTTCCCGCGCTGCTGCCGGTGCGACACATCCTACTTCACACCGTTGCCTTCCTTGTGCCTTCATAGCCCGGTTCGGGGGGCTGCACGCCCATGCTGGGATCGCCGAGGCTAGGCGACTGGCCCCTGGGGAACTGCAGCAGCACGGCACTGCAGCCACAGGGGCCCCCCAGCCTTCCGCTGACGCCCTGGCAGCCAGCCCGGCCCCCCAGCAGCGGCCCGGAAGCGCCGGCACCCGCACGCGCGGCGATGACGAGGCCAACCGGGATGCGGGTGACGGCGCGGCGCACGAGCACCTGCTGCCGCGGGTGATGGTGCCGCTGGTGCAGCCGCCCGGCAGCGTGCCGCGTGCGGTCCAGATTCAGAGGTGTGTGGCACCTCCACACCAGCGGTTAGCGGCAGCCCAGTCGTCATGGACGACATGGTCGTGGAATAGATTATGCATGGAAGTAACAAAAACTGGCCAAAGCAACAGCCACAAGGAAAGCTGAGTAGCAAGCCCTGCTCTGCTCTATACATATATTCTGCGCGCTGCTCCCTCCGACTTGCAGGAAACGGCGCCTATACGCGGCACAGGACGTCCGGGAGCTGGTGCTGAGGCAGTGCGCCGAGACCAAAGAAGCCAGCGGGCCAGATGTTGCGCGCGCGATCACCGGCGGCAGCGGCAGCAGCAGCGACGGCGCGGGGCAGGAGGGCGCCGACGCGCCGACGCAGGAGGATGGCGATGATGCTGAGGGTGCTGCGGGGCTCGAGCATTCGCGGCAGCGGCGACGGAGGGGTGACGATGGAATCCAGGCGCAGGCGGCGCCCTTTTTTCCGCTGGAGGTTTTTGACGACACGACATTCGAGAGCCGCCTGCCGCGGGAGTGGGTGCCGCACGCGCAAGGTGAGGGTTTAGGGTTGAGGGTCAGAAGGCGTCATGCACTAAGGCAGTGCTCTGATTGCTGTTTTTGTACAGGAAATTTGCTTCCCGCTCGCCGTCGCGGGCCGCCTTTTTGAACCTGTGTGCGTGCACCTGCTTCTCTCGCTGCAGCGCTGCCGCGACCCCCAGCGCGCGTCGCGGTGGCGGATGAGTCTGGCGGCGGCGTCGCTTGGCGGCCGGCGGTCGTGCTGGACTGCCGGGAGGCTGACGACCATTACCTGGTGCAGCTGACACACGATGATGTCAGCAGCGACGGCAGCAGCAGCGGCCCCGACCGGCCGCCGCCCCCGCCGCCCTTCTGGGCGCCGCGCGTGCGCGTGTGCTTCGGCGCGGAGGACCCGGCGGCGTACGCGAAGCGATACGTGGCGGCGCACGCGGCGCGGGCGCGCGCGGAGGCGCTGATGCGGTACAGCTTTACGCTGGACTGCATGCCCACGGACGGGCTGCCGCAGCTGACAACCGAGCAGGTCCGCCTCTTGTGACGCACACGCGCTGCCTCTGGTGCCGCATGCAAATGCACGTGCGCGTGCAGGCGTGCGTTCCAGCATTGCCTGGTGATAAGGTGCTGCCCCGTCCGTGCCTGCGGAGCAATCGTGTCAGCAGGGCTGATGTGCCTCGCACCAGCTCAGCAACTTTGTTGGTGTCGACCCCATAGCTTAGGCCCTGTGCAACCCCCAAGCATTTGCACCTGCCCAAATCCATCTTCTCATGTCTGCCAAGGTCAACCGGATCCTGGGCCTGGCGCTCAACACCAAGCGGCTGCGTGACCGCCTCATGGACACCAGCTCCCACATGAACGAGGCCAACCTGGCGCACGCGCGCGCGATGAACAAGGTGGGCGCCGCCCTGACGGCGAGCCCAGGGGCTGGTAGGCGGGCTTGCAGCTGCCGTCTGCTTCATGAAACTGCGTCGCAGGTGCAGAGGGGCGTGCGGGCGTGAGGTATCCACGGTGTGGACGCGTTAGGTGCCTTGCGGGAGACCAAACAACGCATCACACTCGCGTCCAAACCGACCGCACCTCGACACGTCTACCCTCGAATCTCAAAAGGCAGCGTACGACGCCATGGCAGCCGCCCAGGCTGCAGCCCAGGCGATGGCGGCGGCGGCGGCGCGCGACACCCAGGAACCCCAGCACCCCGGCGCCCCTGGGCCCTTTGTACCCGACGACCCGGGCCTCAACCCCGTGGCGCCCGCCGAGCTCCTGCCCCTTGAGCTGCCGCGCGGCGCGCCCTTCAACGAGCGCGCGCGTCCGGTTGGGGCGCGCGGCACGGGGGCGGCGCTGGAGGGGTGCGACCGGGAGACGTTTGCGCAGCGTTTTGGGGAGCTCAGCTTCAAGACGCTGCTGACTCAGCCCGAGGTCGTCGCGGCGCTCGTCAAGATTCGTGCCGAGTGCGCCAAGGTAGGTGGATGCTTTGGGCCGACTTCTGCGGTTGTTCCTTGGCCGCACTGTTGATGCGCTAGTCCTGCTGGTTAGAGATGCCTTCCGTCCTTTCCTAACAAAGTGAGGAAGGCGTGCTGCAGTTGGGGTGCCAAGGCCGTCGGCATGCGACCGCATCGAGGGCCTGGCGCTACATACAACCATCCTCTCAACCGCCCTTGGTGGCAGGTGCGCAAGATGAACCTCTACAGCTGCCAGGCCGCCAAGACGCTGCGCCTGGAGGAGTTTGAGCAGGCGCAGGCCGCCGCGACCGACGCGACCGCCAACCACCTGAGGGACAATTGGCTGGCGGCCATCAAGCACATCATCAAGTGGGTGGTCGAGCGGGGGTTGCCGGCGGTCGGCGGGGCGGCTAGGGACGCCTGTGAGCGCCGCATCCCACGTCACACACACCCCGCGCGCCGGCGGGGTGCACACTCCCCGCGCGTGCAGGCGGGGTGTGCGGTCGTCCAAGACAGCAAGCCGAGACTCATTTTATGACTCAAGAGATGGCGGGGAAAAGTCATAAAAAATAATAAAAGTAAAGTCATAGCTGCGTCGCCGCGGCTCCGCATCATCGCTCTGCGCCGTTTGGCTGTTGCCCTTTGCGACGCAGGAGCCAGTTCAAGGACGTCGGCAAGGGGTGGTACAGCCTGGCAGAGTCGCGCCAGGACACCTACGACTTCAGCAAGCTCAAAAGGCTCATGGCAAGCTTTTATGCGGTTTCAGTCCCACGCATTGACTGCAACGGCCTGGGGGGTTTCGGTAGTCAAGATTTGACTGCCGCACAGGCAGGGCTGCAGCACTTCCGTGTGTACAACCAAACCTGCGCGCAGCCGCCTCACAAGCCAAACGATATGTGAGCGCCGCGCCGCGTTGCGCCCGTGGCCGTCCCCTAGGTCCGCGTGCGGCTGCAGCAACAGGACACGCTGCGCGACCTGGCGCTGAGCAGCATGGCCCGGTTCCTCGATTTCATTAGGGGCGCGTGCGCCTCGGAGGCCGTCGTTGTGTCGACGGCCGTAGTCGAGCTCATGGGGGACGCGTGCGGGCAGCAGCAGCAGCAGCAGCAGCAGCAGCAGCAGCAGCAGCAGCAGCAGCCGCAGCAGGGGGGCAGGCGCGCCGCGCCGCTGATTTCGTCCGAGCTGGTGGTCGCGCCGGACGGCGGCCGGCTGGCGTACGGCACGGGGCACATGCTGGCGCTGTTCGACCGAGGGCTGCAGCGGCTGCAGGTGCGTGCGGGCACGCGTGATTGCGCCCGCGCGTGCATGTGTGACGTACATGTGCGGCACGCGACCGTCGGCTGTGCGGATGATGCGCTCGCGCAGGCTTCCATTGCGCACTACAAAGTTGGGTGGCGTGTTGCACTCACCGTCCTTTCTCGCACGGTGCATGAGAGCATGACCCATGCGGCGAACCCTAAACCCCCAAGGGCCTGCCTGATCTCGAGCCGCTGATCATGGAGCATCTCTTCTGGCCGGACCCCCGGAGGCTGGCCAGCATGGACCCAGGCGAGCCCGAGGCCGCGGCGGCGCGGGAGGCGCTGGCGGCGGCGCTCGCTCGCGCGCTACAGCCCATGCATGCGTACCTGGCGGCTTACAGGAGGTGCGGTGTGTGTGTGTGTGTGTGTGTGTGTGTGTGTGTGTGTGGTGCTGTTCCGCTCGCCGGCCCATCACAATGTGAATCGGGCAGCTGCCCTGGCGACGGGTGAAAGCTTGAGGGGGACAGCTTGCGTTTTGGGCTGTTTTGCAGCCATGGGGAGGGAGCGCCCCCCACCCTGCCCGCCTCCGATCACCGCGACGCGCCCCTGCCTGGTCCAAGGTACGAGCCGCTGTTGGCGCTGAGCGTGGAGGGGGAGGTGGAGCGGCTGGCAGCAAAGGGCGCAGACCTGGGGCTGGCAGAGGTGGGCACGCCTGAGGCGCCCGTGCATGGGGTTGGACGACCGCTTTGACGCGCCTGGCACTACGCCTGATGGGTACGAAAACGGTGGCGGCGGGAAAAGGCATCTGAAGGGTTGACTGACAAAGGGTCTTCGCGCCTGTTGTGAAAGGCCGTATTACTTGGCTTGCGGTCATTCATCGTGCGCAGGTCAAGGCAGCGGTTTCCGCAGCACTGCGCGATTTGAAGGCGATGGACGAGGATCTGCCGCCAAGCATCAGCCTGGGCTTGGTGCAGGTCAACTGCGTCAAGGCGCGTGGTTTTAGAGGCAGCGGGCGGGGGGAGGAAGGGCGCGTCCGGCAGACGCGGAGGCAATCAATTTGGCCCCCTCATGCCTTCAAGGACTGGAAGGAATCTTTGGTTGAGCAGTTACAGGGACAGCCTTGGATGGGTTTTTTTACCCGCCCCACTTGGTGCCGCTTCTTGGTGAGTGGGATTGATGTGCGTGGCGCCAAGCAGCTGGGCGGCGCACGGCGTCGGTGCAGCTGCAAGCCTGACACACGCTGGCACCATGCGGCACCCCGTTACCCGCGCAGGTACGGGAGCTGCTATTGCGCAAGCAGGAGCGGCTGGCGGCGTCGCTCAAGGCGCTCGCGGCGCGCGTCCCCCGCGACGCGCTGGCGGCGGTGGGCGTGAAGTTCGCCGAGCTGGAGCGGCAGCTGCGCGCCAAGGCGGCCAGCATCGAGGACGTGGACACGCAGCGAAGGTGGGTCGTGGGAGGCTCGCTGAATCGGCTGCGATGTCAGCAGCCATCATCGATACCAAATGGTCGGGATAACACGTCTGGGGTTTGGTGCGGCTGGGCCTTGGCAGCTCATCCTGGAAACAAGCATAAGCTGCATGCAGCAAGGAATACCTGCCTGCCAAACACATGGCTAAGATGTTTCCGGCGCAGCTTGACGGGGTTTTTGCATGTTTGAAATCACACCCAGGTTTATCGAGGATTTGCCCAGCAAGATGGCGCCGCTGGCAGCTGAGGTCGAGGCCGCCAAGGTGTGTGTGTGTGTGTGTGTGTGTATGTGTGTGTGTGTGTGCGTTCGTGCATGCATGCATGTGTGTGTGTGTGTGTGTGTGTGTGTGTGCGTGTGACAGGAGTGACTGCAAAGCGCCCGGCGCCATCAACCACATAGCGTGACACCAGAGGCGCCTGGGCTGCAGTGGTGCCCTGCAGTACACGGCCGCCCTGCGCCCTTAGCAGTGGGTGCAGTCCAACCGCATACACGGGTGACCAGCGCTGCGGCCGGCCTTGTCCTTCGCAGCATTTTATTTGTCAGCAAAACATTGTCAGCGAAACATGAATAACACAACAATCAGCTCATTCCGTTCCCCAACAGCCGCACATCAATCTGCGCTACGCGTTGTTGCCACCCTCGCCCCTCAGCCGTGGTATGACGCGCTTGAGGGCATGCGCCACCTGCTCAGCGATGACGAGGCTCGTGACAGGCTGGCCGGCGACAGCTGGCAGGTGGGTTCCAAGGCTGAACACATCCCCCCATCTTGAAACGGTCTCCTTGAAGTCTGAGCAGCTGGACATTGGCGGCTTGCGCACGGACAGCGTCAGTCGCAATCGTGACCCTCTCCCATGCCATCCCTCGAGCAAGCTGCGACGCCCTGGCAACCGCTCGTTTGAATTCGAATGGCGACAGGTGCGGCTGCAGCGCCAGGCGGAGCGCACGCTGGAGCTGTTGGACCAGGACCAGGCGCGGCTGCAGGACGAGATGACATCACAGCAGGGCGCCTTCTCGGAGTCACTGGAGGCTATGGCACAGGTCCGCGTGCTGTCTGAGGGGGAGAGACTTTGGTGCTGCGAGGGGCAGCCGGGGCAGGCGGTGGCTGGTGCAGCGACAGCCTCGGCTGCCCAACCCATGATTCAGCTAGCGGAGCTGTGTGCTGCCCTGTGTAAGGGACTACAGATGCTCAATCCCTAAAACCCCATAACCCCGCTTTTTTACAGGCGGTTACCCAGGCCCAAAGCCATTCAGACCTGTCCAAGGTTGAGGCAGTGGCGGCCGAGGCGCGCGCCTTGGACAAGCACCTGCGCGCAGCGGACAAGGAGGCCGGCCAGTACAACGCTAGGTGGGGTGCACCTGCAGCCGCAGCTACGGCACGCATTACTGCCATCGTTGCTCCATTTTTGTCATTTTCTGTCTTTTGATTGTCAAGGGGCTTGGTCTGAGCTGCACGCTGAAGTCGGTGTCCTAAGGGTGTTGACCTTCAGCCAGGTTTAGAGCTGCCGTGCGAATGGGGGTTCATTTGTGCGGCCTGGGGCGCCCGGGTCGCTGCATCCCTGTCGTCCGCAGGGAGGCCATCCTGGGCAGGCCCCCGACCGACTACTCGTCTACAAAGCGTGCGCTGGAGGACTTTGAGCCGTTCTGCCAATTCTGGACCACTGCCAGCGACTGGAAGGTGAGAATGCAAGTCTCCCGCCGCCACAATCCCTTGCCGGCCCAGCAGCAAACGCGGCAAGCAACGCCCTAACCTCAAATGCACACTGATGCACGCACACACGCGCACACGCACACGCATTTACACGCACATGGTCACACAATCACACATGCGCGCACACACAGACGTTACAGACGAGCGCACGTGCACGCAAAAACACACGTTGCACGGATGCATGCACGCACACATACACGCACACTAACACAAACGATCTGAGTTGCTTGCCCTCCCACTTCACACACTGAGTATGCACCCGTCCCAAACCCTGAACCAGCACATGCTGTAATCCCCTTCCGCAGGTCCACCGCCAGGCGTGGCTCCACGGCCCGCTTTCCGCCCTCGACCCGGAGGCGGTTGGCCGCGATGTGGCGGCCACCAGCAAGACCCTGGGAAAGCTCGGCAAGGTGGGGTGGGGGAACACGTGGTCCATTTGCTGTTGGCATTGACCCTTTTAAAAGAAACGGGTTCAGGGCAGCAGGCCCCATGGAGGTGTGTGCTCGCCCGCAAAGGGGCTTGTTGCTCCTGGGAACACATAAAGCTGGGGGACCTTTTCGCTCTGGCAACTGCGGCCGCTAGCGAGCCCACGCCCTGCAGCTTGAACGCCTGTGCGCAGCGCGCCGAGCGGCATGTCTGCACCCGTTTGTGCCCCTCATCCCGTCCCTCAGCCTGTATCTGTTCATTCCATGCCTCCTCCGCGCAGGCGTTTGTGACGCGGGGCCTTGAGCGGATGGTGGCAAACTGCGAGGAGCTGAAAAGCCAGGTGGAGGCCTTCAGGGAGGTCGCGCCGCTGGCGGCGGCGCTGAGGGCGCCCGGCATGCGGCAGCGCCACTGGGAGCAGCTGTCGGCCCAGGTGCGCCGCACCGTGTCGCACGCAGTTGCTGGGACCAGCACAAACCCTTGCCAGCGCTTCCATGTGGTCTGATGGCGTCAGGCGATAGCGCATTGGTAAAGGCTACGTTCATAATGCACGCAAGCGCACAGCGCCGCGCAAAAGGAACTAGCAGTGCAGCTCACCCTGGTGCCCATGCCCCGCTGCCTTCCGCAGGTCGGGCAGCAGGTGTCGCTGGAAGGGGGGCTGTCCCTTGCACAGGCGGTGGAGCATGGGCTGATGCAGCACATGGCAGCGGCCACCGCGGTTGCTGACGTGGCGAATAAGGAGTATGCAATCGAGCAGGTAGGGACGAGTCAAATGATCCGATCTTGGCTTATGTTGGGCTGATCTTGCTTGCTAGGGGGCATCAGGGCTGGGCCGTCAGTGAGCTTGCTGGGGAGCAGTTGAAACATGTTGGAGTCCCCACGCAGTCAGCAGCAATTTTGGCGCATGGACCGCGCGCTCGTCCTACGGGAGTGGAGACTGACAACGCACCCAAACACTGCTCTGCACCCAGGCTCTGGACAAGCTGGCGGCGGAGTGGGAGGCGGCTGAGCTGGGCGTGGTTGCGTACAGGGACTCGGGGACGCACGTCATCAAGGCGCGCCCCGCACGGCCGCCCCGCCCCGTTGCCTCCCGCAGATTGCACGCGGCGCGCACGGCGCACGCGCGCGCAGCGCCTGTGAAGCTTGCTGCCAGAGGGGCAGAACACCATCGTATTGTCCTTGTTCCTCTAGCCCACCTTGTGAGCCCACCAGGACAACCTTACTTGCCCAGTCCTCTCTCCCGCCGCACCTGTGCCCCCTGGGCCTGCCTGGCCGCGCCAACCCCCGCGCCACTCTGCCCCTTTGTAACCCAACCCCAGGTTGACGAGGCGCTAATCCAGGCGCTGGATGACCACCTGGTGATGCTGCAGTCGATGGGGTTCAGCCCACACAAGAAGCCCTTCGAGGAGCGCCTGGCAAAGTGGGAGGCGCAGCTGAGGCTGGTGAGCGGCCGGGAACACTGGACTCTGGACCCGCCCAGCTGAGCAGGCAGGAATACCCCATTTGTCTAGCCAACAGCATCAGCCTCCCTGACGGTCCGTGTCTCTTTGTAAAACTTGTGTATTTGATCCTGTCCTGTGGCATCCTCAAATCCTGCGCGTTTGTCCTCATGCTTGTCTTGCAGCTTGTCACAAAATATTCTTCCTTGACCCCGCAACACCAGGTGTCGGACGTGCTAGAGCAGTGGGTCGCCCTGCAGCGGGCCTGGATGTATCTGGAGCCCGTGTTCGCCAGCTCAGACATTCAGCAGCAGCTGCCCATGGAGGCCAAGCGGTTCGCGGCTGTGGACCGCGGGTGGCGCAAGACGCTAGAGGCGACGCGGCGCGCGCCTGGCGTCATCAAGGTGCGGGCTGACTCAAGAACAGCGGGTGGTTCTTTGTTAGTCAGGCCTTTTGTTTGTCTCTGTTGGGTGTGCACAGGATCACTGCTGGGGCTGCTGCGCCGGTGCTGACTCGCATGATGGACGGCATGAAACCCCCACTGTTGCTGTCGTGTGCGTCATGTTTTGCCTCTGCCCCACTGCTCGCCCACTTTCATCCATTGCACACGCGCCCCTTCTGTGTTTTGTTGAAACAACAAACATACACGTACAGGCTTGCTGCACCCCCAAGCTGCTGGACAGCCTGACAGAGTCCAACAAGCTTCTGGAAGGCGTGCAGAAGGGCCTCTCAGACTACCTCGAGACCAAGAGGCTCGCGTTTTCAAGGTGATGGTTTGACCAACAGGCCGCGGCGTCCAGTCCCTGCACAGAACGCAAACAGCGCAATCCATGCGTGGCAGGGCAGGCGCGAGGGGCGAGCGTGGCCCCAAGCTTGTTGGTGGCCGTGACGCTGCGCGCCCCCGACATCGTTTGCAACCTGCACACACAGGTTCTTCTTCCTGTCCAATGACGAGCTGCTGCAGGTGAGAAAGCATCGTTGTGGTAGGAAGCTCCGGCCCAGCTCGGGAAATCAGAGACCGCTCAGTCACTACTGTGGTGCAACCGCCCTGCCCTCCTTGCGCCTCTTTGCACACCCTGTGTGGCGTCGCCGCAACACAGCCTTCCAGGCTTTTGCCATCACTGCATCTTGAATACACTGCCTCTCCTCCTGCCTCAGATCCTCAGCCAGGCGCGCAACCCGCTGGCGGTGCAGCCGCACCTGCGCAAGTGCTTCGAGGCCATCGCGTCGCTCGACTTTGGCCCGGCACCGGCGCTGGAGATCAGCGGGATGAACAGCTCCGAGGGGGAGAGGGTGAGGCAGGACGGGGCCGGGCCAGGGGGGGGGAGAGGCGGGGCGGGGCCGGGC